AAGTTGGTCAACATGTAAACTTTCAACACCTTATAAGGTCTCAGATGTGTATTTAGAGTCTGAGTAACAACAAGTTCATGAATGAGTTAATGGATTAAAAGCTCATTGGAATAAATTGGGTGTCACTTTGATGTGTGATGGTTGGACCAATAGTTTGAATCAAATGCATATCATTAATTTTCTTGTTTACTATAGTAAAAGACCATTTTTTGGAAATCTGTAAATGTCTCAAGTGTTCATAGTAGAGATGCAAATTTTTATTACAGATTATTAAATGAAATTGTAAAAGAAATGAAGAAAATGCATTGTTCAAATAGTCACTAATAATGAGGTAGCACTTAAGGCCACAGAAAAAATACTAATGGAGAAGAGAAAACATTTGTATTGGACAGCATGTTCAGCTTATTGTTTGAACTTGTGCTTTGAAGATATTGGAAAGAAAAAAAATGTGGCAAATGTTTTGGATGATGCAAAGAAAGTGACTTGTTTTATATACAATCACATTTGGACTGTTAATTTGATGAAGAAATATACACAAGAGAAGCAAATACCTCATCCTGCTCTTACCCAATTTGTCACTTATTTCATACAGTTAGAAGAAATAATAAGGCAAAAGTAAGGTTTGAGAGAGATGTTCAATTCAAAGGTTAGTACTTAGTAATTTGTACAATAATTTAAATCTAACATCTTTTTATGATATCATTGTTTAAAATATTAATTTAAAATATATTACTCTAAAAATTTATTAATGAATATATAGGAATTTAAAGATTCAAAATGAGGACAACAAAAATAAAGACTTATTCTTGAAGCTAAAAAAAATCATTTTGGGAAAAAGATTTTTGGAAAAAAGCAAGCGATGTAATAAAAATTTATAAGCCTTTGGTAAAAGTGTTACGCCTTATGAATGGTGATGAAAAACCAACAATAGGCTTTATTTATAAGGCTGTAGATAGAGCTAAACAAGCAATTAAGCAAAATTATCATTATTCTACTGAATATAAAAAGATTATTGACAATAGATGAAGTTTCATGCACTCTGACTTGCATTCAGTTGGTAAGTAAACTAAGAATATAGATGGTACTTAAAAAATATGTTTATTTTTTATACTTAAATTGCTTATATATTTATGTTTTATTACTTTAATATAATATTGTTATGAATTATGTTTAGCTTACTATCTAAATCCACAATTTCAACTTAGAATGGAATGTTCTGCAAATGTATTTAAAGAAACATTAGAAGGTATAAAAGCAGTTATTGAAATATTAGAGCCTTTGATAGATACTCAAATTAGAATGATTAATCATGTTAGTATTTAATACTATTTTATAACTTTAACATTTATTTTATGTATTAAAAATTAAATTATTTTTTATTTATTCATTTATTATTGTATTTTCAATCGATGTAGTTGTTATTATTTCGAGACAATCATAAAACATTTGGTACTTCACAAGCACAAAGAACTTGGAAGCAAATGAATCCAGGTAAATAGTAAATTAAATAATTATAATTTATTTATATTATTTAATTGTATAGTACATTCAAATTTAATTTAAATAATTTTATACAGCTGAGTGGTGGATGATATATGGCACTTATGTTCCTGAATTATAAAAACTAGCAATCAAAGTGCTTAGTCAAACAACATCTGCATCAAATTGTGAACGTAATTGGAGCACATTTAGCTATATTCACACTAAAGCAAGAAACAGATTGAAGTTTGAAAGACTTCAGAAACTTGTATATACCTATTACAACATGAGGCTGAGGATGAGACATCAGAAAAGAATGAGCATTGATGAGATAAATAATAGTTTTAATCTTATTAACCTTGATCATATTTTTTAAGATGATGATCCACTAACAAAATGGCTACAAGAGAAAGAAAATCCACTATTAGATGGTCAAAACTTTAATTGGTTGCCAGCAGATAATTCTAATAATGAAATAAATGTTGAACAATCATGCAATCTCAAGAAAAGAATGTGTCTCATTCAAATTCAAGTCCAACACCAAGTCAGAGTGATAATGGTGGGGCTTTAAGTCTAAATGATGATGATGATGATGATGGAGATGGATATGGTGATGGTGATGATGCAAATTTTGGTGATAATATGGATGCAAATCGACCTTACAACCCACTTAGAGGAGAATTTGGGCTTACTGCTACTGGTGAACTTTTCATTAATATGTCATAATACGGAGTAAATCCATTTACTGAATCTAGTGAGGGTCAAAGTATACATACAGCTCAATCAAAAGGAAAAGCTAAGAAGCACCACTATAATATTTCTAAAAGTTTTTCATCTTCAGGTGAGAGACCAAATTCTAATAACTTTGAGTATAGTAAATCATCTACTAGTACTCAAGGACATTACTATCCACCAGAACAACCTAATTTTCGACCTCCTTATAGTTATCCACCTCCATATGGTTATTATCCACCTCAAATGTATCATTTACTACAAATGTATCCCCTACCACAAATGCATCCCCTACCACAAATGTATCACCCTCAAATATATCATCCTCAAATATATCTTTCACCTCAAATGTATCAAAAATAAAGGCCTCGGAGATAGAGATGGAGTCAACTTGGCTCTTCAAAGTGAAGATAGAGAATTTAATCCTCCTTATCGTTCTACCATATGGTAAATTTGAAATATATATCAATAATTGTAGTTGATAGAATTTGAAATTATTATATTTTTAAGTTTGTAATTTTATTAAATATAGATGCTTGGTATTTAATATATTATGTTTTGTTAATATTTGATTTGTCTAGAATTAATATTGAATATAAACTTGACGAAAAAAAATTTTGTGGATAAACCAAATATGAATGCTTTTTATAATCTAAATAAAATTGTAAATAATTTTTTTAGAAAATAAAAAACATAGAGTGTCATAAACTATTTTTAAAATCATTGAATAAGAGTTTTTATAATTATAATTATAATTATTACATTTTATAATAAATTATGCAAAAAAAAATTTATGATTACGATGACTGCAGTGACCGCAATGATCTCCATTATATTTGAAAATACGATAAACGTGAAGTGACCGAAAATGTGATCGCGACCGCTATTTAAATCCCTGCTCGTAGGAGGCCCGGGCACCCATTTAATGCTAGCTAGCACTAGGACTCTAAGCACCAACCTTTTAATAACTCATATAGAGCGTATTACCCTATTTCTCTTCAAGATATCACATTTCAACATGGTGAGAACCCAATACCATGCTCGCACACTTTGCAGTCAACCAAGAGCCATATCAAACTTGATGTGATCGCCTATGAAGGTCACACTTTGAGGCCACGTCTCTTAGCCTCGCATTAGGCATCCTGCATGCGTGATAGACACATAACATCATACTAGCATCTCATTGAATGCTTGAGTGTGCTGCCCCAGCTGCAACACACCGCCATGCATTCCATCGAGTAGCCACAAAAGTCTAATAGCTTGCCTACTTATTAGTTCGCTCATCCCTCAAGCTCATTGATGCCCATCTTACACAATTACCCTCATTAATCCTTCGTTATTCATAAGCCGTCTTTTGGAGGGAAAATCAAAGGTATATCGAATGCTAGCAAGCAACCCCACAACTTAACGCAAAGATGTGATACGAGGCCTATTAATCTCGATTGTCCCTAGGTTTAACATGTCTTGAAGAGGCACTGTTCCATTCTTGTAACCCTCCGATGGCTACTCACCTAGATATTACATGTGCCTAGGAGTAACTTACTTAAGACTAGCAAAACCCTACCTACTTGCTAGCCAAGGGATTGACAAAAAGCTGATCGAATGTTTCCTTATAAAGAGCGTAAGAGTTTTTAAAGTTATCACCAGTAACAACAAATAAATTTGAAATGAGAACATTTTCTCCCCAAACAAATCCAAGGCCAACTCCAATCAATTCAAGGCACAATGATCTCCTTCTTGATCCTAATGATGCTAGAATATATAGGCAACGTTGCTCCACCAGTCCACTCGAAATTGCCTGCTCAAGGCTCGCCCGAGAGCGTCCCACAAGGCTTACAAGCTCCAGCGTAACTGCACAACCGTCTGGCTCTAGGGCTCACACTGGCCCGCACACTGCTCAAGAACTCCGTCCCATAGTTTAAGTTTCGTCCGTTGTTCGGTAGCAGGGCATTCATGGTAGTAACAAAGCATACCAAGGCCTGACCATGCCACATGGGCTGGGCTTGTGCATACATGGTCAGTAGTCCTAATGGGGATGTTATGGTCCATGCTCCCTCCACAGTTATGGAGAGTTCCACCATGACCGAATGGATTGTCAGTTTCTAGGAGCAATTTTTATCACTGCATGGAATGCTGCTGTTACTGCCTTTTTGCATTGTTAATTTAAGAACGGATAAAGAGGATCTTGAGGTAGGGGATGATGCAGTGCATGGAAAGGAAGATTATGCACAGTGGGGAGATGGTGAAAGAATGCCAAAACCTCGCCGTCTGCGTATACCTCCTATCTGACACCGTCTAGTTTCAACACCTGTATGAACTATAATCAATTTGAGAATGCTGCAACACTTTCGACTGCAGCTTTTGGTTGATGTTGCTCAATACCCATTTACGGATCTGTGAATGTTCATATCTCGGGCTTGAGAATGAGAAAACGGATTTTCTTATTATTGTGATTTGTGCGTGTATCAAAAGACCATTTATTACATGCTTATATTGACCTAGTGGTATTTATCAGTAATTTCAAAGCATCGGAAACAACCAACAAATTTCTTCTGGAGGAAATACAATTGGTGCATTATGTTCATATCATCGTTTTGTCCTCCCCTTGTTGCCTTGTTGCTTTATGCCAAGTCTTTTATTAACCATTTTGGCTTCTTTTCCTACTGTATTTTAATTTATTCACAAGAACTTCCAATAGGAAAATGTTATCAACAGCAGAATTGTTCAGTAGGGAAAAGGAAAAAAGAGAATTGACAGTAGAGCTATCAGCAAAATGACACATTGCATAGCATGATTCACAGCAAACTTTATATTCCATTTTCTTAAAGCTAGGGAGCCAAGTAGACAACCAAAATCATAGGAATATCTGTGAAATTGATGGATATTACATTCGAAGAAAAACATAATAGGTTCTAACATACATCATATAATCGGAAATACAAACAAAATCAATGGCTGCTCCATGTGTAACTTGAATATTTTTATCCTTCATAATCATGGCTATGCACCATCCCAGTTAATCCACAATTACCCGTAATCATAGGGGCAACATTTCTAAGTTGAACCTGTACATTACCACCTTTTTGTAAAGCATGATCATGAATTCATTCCAGGAATGTTTCCTCGGGCTTAACTTGAACACTGAAATTCTAGGTTAATGGGGTTAACAGGTTCCAACTTCCAATGGTATGTTTTTAGCCTAGCACCTTCCTGAAGCTCTACAAACTACAGCAATCTGAGCAGGCACTGAAACTCTAAAACCAGAAGGTATATCCTTCCACTTTTAACAATAAAAGCCAAAAAAATGAGCTCACAAACAGGCCAACCACCAATCAACGAGTATACAAACTTGGAAACATTAGAAATAGGTTACTGGCCATGACTTGAGTTGCGTAGCTTCATTAGTTTGTCTCTTAACATTGCTGCAGCAAATTATACAAATATAAATTGATTAGATAGTGTGAGACAATAGGAGATTCAACGTGTGAAAACAAAGTAATGAAAAACAAATAGTACTTTGTAATTATTTTGTAGATTTATAATTAAATGGGAAAAAAAAAGATTCTGTTATCTTTCTTTTTTTTTCGGGTTAGAAGACTATATTATATTTTTATTACCTGCATCATTGTACCTTTCTTCTTTGACAGCTAAATCCATATTCCTCACCAGATCCAGCTCCTCTGTTAGTAAATCTGGACCATCTGCAGCACTGGAAATATATAACCATGCTTAGAGTTACCATAAGCCAGACAATATGGTAAGAAGACACCAAAAGCAATATAAGCAATATACCTGTCAAGGGATACATCATAAGTAGACTTTGTATCGCGGACTCTGCCCATCCCATAGCCAATTCTAATAGCATCTGCCAAGACAATTTGTTTATTTACATATATTGGAGCCTGCATAGAGGAAACACCAATTAGAAGCTTTGGAGAGGCAATCAAGTAAATACAAAATTGAACCTTGAAAGAAAAAGCAATTTGTCATTGGAACAAGAGAGAGGCAGATTGCAAATTGGAAATACTGGATCATCTAATCACAGTTCTGAAAGCATCAGCGTATGAGTATGCATAACAAATGCAAATGCAAGCACTTACATATATAAAATGCCATATTATTGCTTACCAACCTAATCAAATCAAACCAGGTAGCCTTACTGAACTTTGCACTGATATTTTATACTGGTGTAAGTCAAAGCAAGTACCAATTGCAACAGAGTAAGACTAGAATGCAACCAATTCCCCTTTCATATTGCACAAGATTTGATTTATAAAATAATTTCCGAGTACATACCTTGCATCTATTAGCCACATATATGGCATCTGAGGGTCCTGCATCCACACTTATGACATCATTTTCCCCTGGCTGTAAACATAAAAAACAATAATTGAAACAGGTTCTGTATCATCTGAAGGAAATAGAAATACAACAATCTTTTAATCACCTTGCTAAAATACAATTTTGCAAAGTAAGTACTGACAACCCTTTGTGTAATTCTCACCATTTTAACCTGAAATGAAGATATGTAAAAAAAAAAAAAAATCCATGAAAAGATATATCACACAAAAAAGTGCACAGTTTTCCCAAATTAAAGCTTGTAAGTGTAACTAGTAACTGGTTGACAATCTAGGGAAGCAACGAAACTATTGGCTCGATTATCTGCATTCTTATTTTAGAAATTTCTTTTACTTATCTCTGCCAAGTTCAAGTATTTACAAGAGTTTTTACTAGACATATGCTGTAAAGAAACAACTAAAGCAAGTAACTGAAAAAAGCTACAAAGATTTCAGCAAGTCTTAAATACATGAGAAAAACCAACTCCATACTTCATATCCAAGCTGCTCCACAACATTTTTAACAAGCTGGAACTGATCAGGACTATCCTGCAAAAAAATCAAGTCAAGAAATTAACACAAGGGCATAACTCTATCTATACAAAAAAAAAGCAACTTTATAATGGTAATGAATTAAGAAGTTACCCCATCATCATCTCCCCAAAATGCAGCCATAAGTTTTTCAACAGCAAACTCCCCTGCAACATCATATTAATTAGAGCTACTAATAAAATCGATCCAACCAACAATTACAATTAAAGAACTGAAAAAAAAATGGAAAAGGGTAGAATTGTTGATTTCATGTATACCTACAATAACGGGTAGTAAGAAGTCTCCATCACAAGAAATCTTAAGAAAAATAGTTGGACTGGGAAAGCGACTAAGAAAGGCTTGTCCAATTGAACTAATTTTAGCCCCTGAAATTGGAAGCTGGCTCCTAGTTGACTTCCATTTTATGTCTTCTTGAAATCCTTGCCTCAACATCCGGTAGTGCAAAATAGTTTCTGCACCATCCATATCTCCAACATCAACAGATTCCCAATTTTTGTCTATAAAAGAAAATTCATTTCCAACCAAATTAGTAATAAAAATTCATGGAGAAACAGAAGCAAACCTGAGACCAGAAGAGAAGCCTCGAGAAACTGGTGATCTTGGTTGTCGTCGTTGCTAAATTGGGGACCAAAGCTACCATGGGAGGAGTGGCAAGAAATGAGGGTCGGTTTAGGAGAAGGACGGCAGCGTTTCGTCGTAAAATGTAAACGGATTGAAGAGTAACAGGTCGAGGAACAAAGCGAAGAAGAAGAAGAAGTGGTCGGATAAGCGACATTCGATTCATCTGAGAAAATCCAAAAAGGCCGAATTGTACGGACGCAAAGTTGAGCACCGAGCATTATCTAAGAGAGGTGGAGAAAGAAGATGTTTGGTTTGGAGTTTGTTTTATGGAGGTAACCAACGAAAGGGAAAACAAAGGCAGTTGAAAATTAAAATGGAGAAACAGCGACCGACCCGATATGTGCATGTACATGTGTTCCAAGATATGAGCTTGATGTAGAAAGGAAAGGAAACCACAGCTTATCGTTCCAGGGACCTAACAATCTACTTAAGTTACCTATGTTTGCCACGAAAGCTGTTAAGAAAGTTAAAACGACGGCGTTTGCACCTTGTTGGTCGATATCCAAATCGCCGTCTCCAACAAATATCTAACGCTAGCAATGACGATTAATTACAGAAACTCATTTTCCCAAAATCATTCCCTCGTCTATGCTTCTACTCCCCCTTTTGTCATTTATTTGATTTGTAAATCTAACCCCAAAAAAAAAATAAAAAAAATAAAAAGAGAAAACTATACATGGTATTAGTACATAAAGAAGAATGAAGAAAGTTACAGAATTACTGATCAGATAATTTCTCATAATTACATGTTCACAAGTTCATCAATTTGTAGCAATTGGGTGTAGAAGCAAACATTCTTCTGATCAGTGAATTGCCGGTTGCCTCTATCATAATCTAGAACATGAACGATGGTAGAAGTATTGCGAGGCTATGCAAGTACTAGGGCAGCCGGGAAATCGATCATCTTGAATACTTACTTAAAGCAGTTACCGACTGTGGCCTGCGAAGCTGCTTCAACAGCTTGATCAGTTCATATGTTCTCGTGTCTCGACCAGAGTAAAAGCAAAGGTCAAGTGGGGTTAAACCATCCTGAAACAAGCAAAAGACTCCATCATTGATATAAATTGAGAATTTTAGCTGAGGGAATAGCCATTTATGCTGCTCGTGAAGGCAAAATTAAGAGTAAAAAAGAGCAAAAATATGAATTAATTGCTAGCAGGTTAACAAACCAACCACCAAAAGAATTGTAAAGGAACTGGTTAAAATAACATTAGTTAATGAATCACAATATCCTTACCTTGTTTTTTCGCATCTTATCTGCCCCTCTAATTAATAAAAGCTTCACTATATCTGTTCTTCTACCTTGAACAGCAAGATGTAATGGTGTCCAACCATCCTAGAAAAGGCAAAACTCAAAAAAAATGCATCATCAAATGGAACATAAGTATTGACAACAAATTAGGAAAGCAAAAAACTAGGAAAGGTTAACCATACATTGTCCTGAAGATTTATATCAACATTGTATAACAGAAGTAGTTTAATTGTGGGAGTTGATGCTGCATTGACAGCATAATGCATCAAGGTGGCCCCATCCTGTTTCCAGGGAGACAAAAAGAAAAAGTTAATATTAACCCAAAAATCGAGCTGAATCACTATCGGTAAGAACAAGGAATATCGTCAAAGCATCCCAAGCCCTCTCTCACTTTCCTTTTCCTTGCATGAACACATCCATGATGAAGCTAAAACATAGAAAATAACAACAATGGCAAATAAGGTTGTGCACTGGGGAAGTATCAGTAATTTGAAGACAAAAACTCCCAATTGAACAGCTGAAATCTAAAAATACCACAAATATCTAGAGACTTAAACATTTGTTTTTATTAAAATTTAATCTTAAGCACAAACTTACTTCATCACGAACAAATGGATTAGCTGATTCTCTAAAAAGATAGTTGGTAATGGCCTGCTTTTTTCCAATAATTGCCTTGTGAATTGCAGTCAAACCATTCTGCAAAAAAATGTTTGAAACTTAAAATCATTAACCAAGATAAAAAGAGAAAGTGAAGAAAGTCCTGTGTATTAGTATGTAATAGTCGAAATGACGTGAGAGATAGAGCAAAAGACATAATTTACACAAGAATGAAAATAATACCAGAATTTATCCAGTAGAGGAGATCATTTTAATACCTTGTCCACAGCATTGATGTCAACATTGTGTTTCAATAAAGCATCAACGAGGTAGAACTCTCCTGAAGCCGCAAGAGTGTGAAGGGGTAGCCATTTTCCCTGCAACAAATTTCAGCAATGTGACAAGAAAGATCGCCATTTCTCACACTAAGTACATAATACAAGAAACAGTTAACCACTAAAGATGCTGACTTCACAGCAAATTGGCACTTTCCCAATACCAGCAGGAAGATCCAGGATCCAACAGAAAAATCCAATAAGATGAGTCCAGAAATTGCTTAATGACAGATGATAGAAAACGCAGTTTTAACCAACAATCAAGAGCTCCGGAAACTTACAGAAGTGGCAACTGCTAGATCGGGTACACGCCTATTTAAAATAAGTTTTTCCTCCTTTGTAAACAACTTACGTGGGCCTATATATTCAAGCAGAGATGATTCATCAGCAATTTACAAGTACGAATAAATAAGGATAGATAAACATAACAAAAAACCAAAACTTGATGCAAAAAAAAAAAAAAAAAGGTCACATACAGATAATTCCTAAATTTCCTAGACATAAACAAAAACGGTGCTACCTTGGGTTTTGTTCTCGCCCGGCTGGTGGTTCCCACTGTTGAAAAACTCAGCAATATCCTCGAAACCCCTTCCGTAAACTGCACACCTGGGATTCTTAGGCGCTACGCGCTCACTCGAAGATGGCAGATTCATTTCAGCCTCTTTTGACCCTTCCTCATCCTTCTTCTCCTCCTTCACAGGAAAACTCGAAGGATTGTCAAGAACCACGGGGTTCAACTGAGCCAATTTATCCTCTTTATACTTTAAGTATTCTTGCAAATTCACGTTCCTTATAGGGACCAAACCTTGCCTCTTCTTCTCAACTCTGCTCCCAAACTCCAACTGTTGCGCCAGTTTTCGTCTCTCTTTCTTGGTTATATTAATCTCGTCTAGAACATGTCTCCATTTCTCTGGAACCAAATTCTCAGCCTCAATTTCTACTGACTGTTTTTTCTTCTTCTTGCGTTTTGTTTTAGTGATTCCTGAGATCGAATTGGGATGGTCAGAACTGGAGCCAGCTTGGAGATAGGGGTCTTCAAAAGCACCGTCTTCAAAGACGAGGCAATCACCAATAACGTACTCATCATCGTGGACGTCATCGTTTTGGGCAATGTAAGAGGAAAGGAAGGAAGGGGAGACGGAGTGCAATTTTCGAGGGAAAAACAAGTTTTGGGGAAGTGAGGGTTTGGGAGGTGTAGAAAGAGAAAGAAGGGTGGAGATTTTTGGGGTTGAGGGGTTAAGCGGAGAGGGGGATGACATTGCTGTTTTCTTGCTCCACCGTAAGCGCAAGCAGCAAAGAAAATATTGATCATTTTATTGGGTCGTTTACTCCTTCTGTCCTTCGATTATGTGGACCTTGATGTGGATCCGGCCTGAGATTCTGGTTGGGGCATGAATTTTACGGGGAACTGCTCTTTAGTTTATCTGCGGGCGGGGAGTGACCTGACAAGCCATAAGCCCAATGAAAGGCATGAGAAACAAAGACCTGTCGCCAAGCCCAGCCTCAGAATAGCCCAGAAACATGTCGACCAGGTAAACGGTACTCCGCTGACAATTGAGATAGGTTCTAACCGGCCATTGTTGTGGTGACACAAGCAGTTCATGGGGATTAACTGCAAAGACAACTCCACTATCCAGGGCTGGAAACCTTGAAGCTGCTTTCTGGACAAATTACCGTAGAAGTGGTATTAAACAATGTTCAGAAATCACTAACCAAATTACAAATAAATAAAGTTCTGAAATCAGATTCAATGCTTCCATATGAAAGCAGGGTCCGTAATCAAAGGTGAGACATTTTATTTACCGTCCAACTAAAGTTCAATACTAACATACAACTACATATTTAATAGAGATGAAAAACTGCTAAAACAACCAGTAACATTAAGCTTGAAGCGCGTCCAAACTAGATATTACATCAACATTTAACAGCATAAGACTTAACAACACTCCAGCTTTCCCCCCTCTTAGAGGCTGACCAAACCAAATGAAAAACTTCACCGTGAACCACGAGAATAAGGTGAATAAGAACGCTCCACCCTTGCTCTTCCACCTCGAGGAGAATATCTTGGAGAGTAATCACGACCTCGGTATGGTGAGCATCTTGGAGATCGACGATATCCATAGTCATCACGGCCACCACGATACCTGCCACGCTCACCACGACCTTCACACCAATACAAGAACATCAGAATTCAGAAAATATTAGGCATAACATCATAAGACCATAAAGTCCAGTTTTATAACAAACAAAATTATTTAAAATTTCAAACTTACCATAATCCCTGGTATTTTTCAGTCCAAGATAGTGCCCCGGAGTTGGAGTTCTTGGGCGTTTCCTACGTGACTGAAAGGTAGAGAAAACACCTTAATATTCAACCAAAGCAAATATTTGGGTTGTATTATCAAAATAGTAAAGGAGACTACAGCTTCATAACTCAGTTATCAAAATTATAACATTATAAAGCAATGATGTTACTTTGAAAAGGAAAAAACTTCATTTGGATGATCACCTGCAAGGTGAAAAAATTGGCCATTGAAAGGAAGGGAAGAACAAAAAGCATGATACACATCCAGACACAAGTAGTGCCTATTAAATGAATGCCAGATGTGAAATACCATAAAAGCTTGATTATAAAGTTGTTGTATTGGCCATTGATTAGTTGAGAGTTGAAAGTGAATGCTGAGGTTGTATGGTTGTTGGGCAAAATAGTTGCTAATTTAGTTGATCACATGCATTTGAAAAGCTGTTTTAGCTGGCCATTGATCAATCTTGTTTCACTTAAGTTGAGATGGGTGAAGTCATCATCTTTGATTGCTGCCAAAATAGCTGACGCAATATATTCTGAATATAGCCAGAAAACCTTCAAGTTAAGAAGAATGATAACCAGACAAAACTGTTCAACTCTAAGCAACAACAACAGAATCAGATTACCCTCTCCACAGTTATGTATCGACCCTCTAAAATTGATTGGTTGAGATACTTAATACAGCGGTTGGCATCCTCAATATTGTCCATTGTAACAAAAGCAAAACCACGTGATATGCGAGTACGAGGTTCAACAACGAGAAAACATGATGCAACCTTTAAAACAAAAATCATCTCATTAGCAGTACATAGAGATTGGATGATAATAATAAAATAATGAAAGCAAGCAAAAAACCCACAATTTGGAGCCTATAACAATAAACCAACCTTTCCCTCCTTCGAGAAGTGCTCTTCGAGGTCCCTCTCTGTGACCCTTTGAGATAGACCCGTCACATAAAGTGTGTTTCCAGGTTTTCCAGCATCAGCCCTGCCACATCATTCCAAAAGAAATAAATATAAAAGATAAAAATACAATGGAGCATTTGAAACTCCAAAATCAATGTAAGAGAATACAGGATATGATATAAACATAAACATTGCAGTTCATGTCCAAGCTCACAAGGGGAAGTAAAACCACAATTAAAACTAACCTGCCACGACTTCTAGACCTTGACCTGGATAAGAAACAACAAAAGGGAAAAGGATAAGCAATAGCGCCACAGAACTTAAGAGTAAATTGAAATTGGGCAGGTGGACAACAAACCTGCCCCGACTATGTGACCTGGACCTATGCCTAGGCCTTAACCAGGAGCAAGACCTAGACCTAGACCTAGACCTGGGTCTAGATCTAGATCTGGATCTGGATCTGGACCGTGACCTGGTCTGCTCTCTCCATGGGGAGTGGGACTGAGAATCCCTGATACAGCCCGCCCATGTATCAGATGAAAATGGAGAATAATGTAACAGCAACTGAATAACAAGCTCCGCAAAATGTTGTGTGCTCCATATAAAACAAATCCTCACAACACATAGTATTACAAAACCAAGATGAAAGAAAGAGATAAAGCAAATTACTTCGCAAATAATTCATGTTGTTTTCACACTCGCCCAAACTATCCCTTTACTAAGATTCTTCCCTTTTCTTCCAGAAACCACAAAGCAAACAATCAACATACAAAAGCCTACTTCAGCTCAACTTTTAAAAATAATAATAATAATAACATATATACATTTTTTAGGAAAAAAACATAATTTTGCAACAACAAAATTGATATTGATTAAATATTCACAGTTCCTTTAGGAAGATAATTCTAAACTCCTCATGTTGAATGCTCATCAAATCCCTAAACCAGCCCAACTTGTTTAATCTAGGGTTTCTCGAACATTCATTTGAAAGAAATAAGCCAAAACAAGCAGTGAACCAGTGATCAAAAGCTACAATACAAGGATGAGAAATGGAGTTTACCTTTTACGAGGAAAATCGGCCTGTACCGTAACAAAATCGGATTTCAAATCGAGGAATTCTCAATCAACTAAAATAAAAGAAAAAGGAAAAAAAAAAACGAGAGAAGAAATAAGATTAGAGTGAGGGCATACCATTTTGACGAATAGATAGGAACCCTAGATCGCTAGAATGGAAATGTGGGAAATTTAAGATTTTTACGCGCAGTGATGCGTAGGTCAACGAAATATCTGCCTTACAACTTATAAGAAAAGTGCAAAATATGGTAAATTTCATCGTAAGTGACACAACTTATACACAAATCACATTTGGGTCACTGAACTTTAATTTATCCCATTTAGATCACTAAAATTTATTAAATGTACCAAAATTAATCGCCCTAACAAATTCTATCCAAATTTTGATGGAAAAGTAACATCACTATCATGTCATTAACCACATCATCTGTCACATTAGCTAAATTAATCCATATAATTTCATAAAAAATTATTAAACCTTCACCAAATTTTTAAATAAGTTATTGAATTTTAATTTATCATTATAAGATCACTAAAATTTGTTAAATATAATAAATTTGATCATTCTAATAATTTTTATCCAAAATAAAAAGTTAAATAAAATCTAAATATAGAACTCAAGCAAACAAAATCCATATTTTTAATATAACCAAAAATCTTCTCATACCCAACAAAAAATCAAAAAAAAAAAAAAGAATTAAGTAAACCTAAAGTAGACAGACCTTTATAAATATTTGTTTTCCTAAAATATTATGACTTTTATTTAAATAAAAAAATCCTTACAATTTAATTAGAGTATTATTTATTAAATATTTATTTCATAAATGTAAAATTTGTAATTGTTAATTAAATATTTACTTTAAATATTTTTAATTAATTGATAAATAATGCTTTAATTAATTTGTAAGGACTTTTTCTTTTATTTAAATATTAATGCTTTTTTAATTTAAATAAAAATAATAATACTTTAGGAAAAACAAATATTTATTAAAGGATGTCTGCTTTAAGTTTACTTAAATTTTTTTCTTTTGAATTTTTTGGAGTGTAAAACGATTTTTTGTTACATAAAAAATCTGAATATTATTTGGTTGAATTCATAATTTATCTAACTTTTATTTTGAATGAAATTTATTTATTTATTTATTTATTTTGTTAAATGATGAAATTAATTAAAATGATCAAATTTAATATACTTAACAAATTTAACCTTATAAAGATAATTTAAAATTTTGGTAAAAGTTTAATAATTTTTTATAAAAATATATAAGTTTAGTTAACTAATGTAACTCTATCAAAAATTTGATGGAATGTATTGTGGGACCAATTTTGGTTTACTTAACAAATTTTATGACTTGGATGGTAAAAATTAAAATTCAATGACTCAAATAAGATTTAAGTGCAAGTTGGTGATTATGGTGAAATTTATCAGTGAAATATATGAATCATTGGAAAATGAATAATGATTTTTATTAGAGGAAAGATTCAATGCAGTTGACTTCATAATAACCTCCAAACTAGAAAACCAACTCATCCTAATCCGAATCCCCGCTAACTCGAGTTGATCATAGGAAATTAATAATCCGAGCTCGTGGTAGCTTAAAACTAAAAGTAACCCGAAACTGATATAACTCGAACCTGAAATGAATCAAAATAAAAATAGTTCAATCCTGAAATGGCTTAAAAATTTAATTCAAAGTAATATGAGATTAAATTATTTATAATTTTATTTAAGTACATAAATAAATATAATAAATATAATACAAATGATAACTCATTGAAATTAATAAAAATATCAAAATAATATATATTTTTAATATCTAACTAATGTAAATTATATATTATATTACTTACAAAATTTCTTATAATTTATAATATGATTTAAAATAAATTATATATTTTTAATTATTATAGATATACATACTTATTAACTTCTCAACTAGAATAAATTATATAATCTCATATAATTATATATAGTATCAATTATCATGTAATTTACAATAAAGTATATAAAATAAATCATTAATTTGTATATATACATTATGTTTATGTTATAATTATAATATTAATTTTTAATCATGTCATTTAGAATAAATTATATAATGAACTACAATTACACTAAAATCCAAGTAATAAGTTAGCAAATAATTAGCTACAATTATACTAAGATAATTATTTATATTGTAGTGATATTATTAATATAAAAAATAATTGCACGTTAAATGTGCATCATAAATAAAATTCTACAATACTTTTTATATGATTATATTAAATATATAATTGTGTATTATAATTAAAAGTTTAAAATATTTTTTATATATTTCTATTATATTAAAATAAATATAAAAACTTATTAAACGTGTCAAACCTAATAAATATGTTTTTTGTGTTTAATACGTGTACTGTATGTCATGATCTAATTAAACATACTTTTTGTTTTTTACACATATCAAATTTTATGTTAACATAGCTAAATATGAAATATGTTTCTTTAAAACCCATACAAAATTTTTTTTATCATTTTAGTGTCATATTATTATGTTTATTTAAATTTATCAAATCTAATAAAATTGCATAATTTTTTACTTATATAAAAATTAATTCAATTTAAACTAGATAAATTACAATATTTATATTTATTTTTAAAATATTTTTTTATTTTTTATCTTTTAATAAAATTATAATAAAATTTGATTTAAACTTGATCAAATAATTTATTTAAATTTAATATAATTTTATTTTAAAAATTAATAAATTAAATCCAAAATAATTCGAACTCAAATAAATCAAATATCAAATCCAAATATTCAAACTAAAATGATCTGAGCTAAAATTGGCTTGAACAAAAAATGATTTAAACTCAAAATAATATGAACCAAAATGATCTTAATCTAAAACAATCCTAAATTAAAATAATTTAAGTTGAAATTAAACCAAATTTTTTAACATCTAAAATGACCCAAATTGAATTAATCCAACTCAAATCAAATCCGATCAACTCAATTAATAGATTTATTGAACCTTTTAACTTCACCACTCTTAAAAAAATGGGTGACATAAATTTTCATATAATATTATTATATGAAATTATTATGCATTTTTTTATTTTTTTAAGTCTATTACTAAATAATTTCAACTTTTTTAATTAAAAAAAATTTACGATAATATGTAATTTTTTCATTTATATGTACATGGATTTTGATAATGGATGACTTAAATTTTTTTAATTATATGATAATATGCATTTTTTATTTTGCTTGCATAATCATCTCAAAAATTTTTAATTAATGCTAAATGAAAATTCCATCAAAAAATTAATCAATCACATAAATTTTATTCATAATTAACTGCCCTTTGCTTTTTAAAGTGAAATAGATATAACTTTGTTAAATTCATGATCTGACTATTTAATTAACAAAAAATTAAAATATTATTTTTTATTATTTATTAAATTTAATAGACAAATATAAATAAATAAAAACCAGATTTATTCATAAATTGTTTATCTAACGTTTTATTGGTTTTTAAATGATAAAAACATGAATATATTTTACTATATTTATGATTTATTAATTTAATTAACAAATTAAAAAATATTATCTTGATTTAATCATTTGTTAAATTTAATAAATAAATATAAACAAATAAAAACTAACCCCGATTATGAATTATTCGTAAAAAATTTTGTCCATTTACAACCCCTAAATTAGATTTAGAACTAAAATTACCTAAAAAGAAAAAAGGGATTAGAACTAAAACCGAACAGCATATGAAAATCACAGTAAACAAGAACTAGCACACAACAGGAAAATGGATGACAAGGCGAAACCAAAATTTTCCATTTCTTGTTTTCACTACGGTACTGTTCCAGATATAACACTCACATGATCCAAAGTAGCCGATTAAACAACGGATGCACACTGCTTCAGATATATGCCACAATGCAAATCTTTTTACAAACTAATACTTCCCCAATGAAATAACAATAGAAGAAATCATCAAGCGCTGCTATCCTGATCGCATTTTACAAGGTCCAGTCCAGTGTCATGCCACTATTACATCTCTAGCAGTCTTGTATGATCACAAAATCTGGGGGAAGATTATTATTATGTTGTAAGAATATCTGGAAGTTGAATCGAGTGAGCTCCAACTACTTTACCGCCAACGTCTGGGAAATTTTCATGTCCAGGGAGTGGGTTTACTTTTCCATCGACGTCTACTTGCACAGGATACATCAGAAGGTGGCCCTGCAATGCTGAATAATCAGTAGCTGTGAATTTCTTCCAGTTCTCTTCAGCAATCCCATTCACTGTCTTCACGCATTCCAGACTTTCTGGCTCCTTGAAGCACTTATTTAGCTCACCAAGATGCTCCGCCCATAGTGACATTCTATACCCATATACCTGTCAAACGCAGAGAGGCATCACTAAGTAAGTACGCTGAAACATTCGAATTCAGATTAAGAACTTCCTTGCAATGCAGCCTCGGGGCAGTGTTTTTGTTTCATGTGCCATTATAAATGTAAGGGGAACGACTTAAAGCATTTTCTCATTCAATACTATATGCCATATCAAAAAAGGAACAGAAATGTGAAGAATATTTTTCATATTGCAAAACACAATTTTGACACAATGTTCACTAAATGTCACACAATGATTAATTTTGGACATCAAGTATAATACATGATTAGTTTCCAGTTTCCAGTTTCCACCCCCGAGAAAAAGAAATGAATGAAAGACATCTTCCATGAACAACATTTGAGCTAATTCGATGCCTTTTTCTTACCATCCCTGAACAGCAGTCAAAAAATTGGTCCAAAAATCAACAGTTTGCTCGGACGAAACAATAAGCAAAAAAATATACAAACCTGACCACGTGGAGGTTTTTTCTTCTCAGCCCATGTATAATGTGGTTGATAGGCACCCATAGCTATCTCAGTGTCTTTTGTACCAGCCATGGATCTTTGGTTAATATTAGCTGATCCCACTATCACATACTCATCATCTATTATCATTCCTTTTGCATGCACGTATATCATGAACCGACCGAATTTTGCAGAGTCAGAGACCTAAGCAAAATATAAATATATTAATGTAATGATAAGCAACTCCCCACTTCAATGTGAATTATCAATACAGCTATTATTCAATAGTAAAGAAACTCTCCACAGTTTATCAAAATCTAAAACTAGAACTTATCAGCACAAAAACAAAATAAAACAAAAGAGTAAAATAATCAAAAAATCTAAATGTTGAATCTAGAGTTATGTAGGATCAGTACTGTTCCAATTTCAATAGACATTAATCTACAACAAGAATCTAAAAAAGAAGAAAAGGGATATATCTCTCAAGCAATTACCAAATTATCATTACCACCGAGCATTGCCTGGAAGACCTCTTCCCGCTTACCAAGACAATAGAAATTGAGGTAATCTTGAGGATGTGAGTCCTTAATTTGATTGGATTTGAGTTCTTGTGCAACAACATCATACATCATTAGCATTGTTTGACTCTGGAAACAAAAAATGGGTGAATAAAGTTAGAATAGCTTCTCATCCCGAATTTCTCTAATAAGAACAAACAGAGAATTCCACCTTCATATATGGATAACAATAAAGGTGATGTAAAAAAAAGTAAACCCTAAACCAAAATCGAACTAAAATAATAAAACAACTCCAAATAAGCCCAAGTAATCGAAAACATATTTTCTTAAACTACGTTAGCATAGGCATGCTTCCAGAATTTGGAAGGTCTTCCATCAGTTATCAAGTCTAAGTTTAGAACCACCTATGGACGAGCAACAAGCATGATATATTTTGATTTTTCTTCAAGAAATTAAAGGTATATAATGGAACAAGCATACAATTGCACTGTTGCTTCATGTTTTTATCATAATGAACAGACATAAGATGCTTACAGCTAAAAAGGCTCAAGAAATAGATACCAACCTGCCAATATAGAATTTCCTGTACAGTAGCAGATTTTGGATCACCCTCAGGCCACAGAGGAATGATGATATATACCGCGAATCTCTCCCTTGCTCTGATTTTACTAGCAACCTTTAGTGCCAGCTCCATTGGGATCAGATTATCAGCCCCTGCTTATACCATAAAAGAAAACAACATATGAAAAATTAAAAGAAACAAAATAATGAAAGTGTACATTTTAGCTTCTTTATCACTACCAAAAGATCAATAGAAACATATCTCAGACAAATTTGTACACTGAGGATAACTCCACTGACCTGCATTTTTATATGATAGCCATGCATAAGAAGATCCAAGAAAATACTGATTTTCAATATATATGTAACGCTGGGCAGATCTGATTGCCTGTATATAAGCAGCTTGAATGCTTTTATCTATGACCACATTTTTTGAACAGAAAAGATTCTGCAAAAAAAAATAAAAAGAAAAAGGTCATCAGACACTAAGAACCATGATATAATATAATACAGATAGATAATAGTTGCAAGTAGAAATTGGGATCTGGTGAAAATCTAGAACATGGCCAATGTAATACAGATTAGGTTTCTTCCCATCTAAAAATCAGATGAAAAGCAGTTTCATGGAGAGACCTGGTTCTGAGCTTCTTTGATATATTTTGGAAATCCTTTCAATGATCCTGAGTCAATGGAACGGAAAATCTGTGGAAGAAAAATAAATTATAAAAAGATCGCTATTTCTTTTTTGGAAAATGAGGAAAAAGAACAAAATCGAACACATAGTTATCAGCAGTAAAATTTTACACAACCTGAACATTCCAGTTTTCTGGATCATCTTTACTAGTAACATGTACTTTGGGATCATCTTCTGGAACTATTGTAGTACCATTGTCTTTAACAGTTAAGGGAGGGCTTTGTATCCATGAGATTCGTTCTATCTTAATCAAAGAATCATCACTCCAGTGAGATTTTCCTCTAAAGAGTAGACTGAATTCTTTCCACTTGGTTGATTTCCTCCACCGCTGCTCAAAGTTGATAAGAACATCATATGCAGCAGGCCCATCGATTTTGCTGTGTAAATCATGCCATGGTTGCCTTGGAGCCTTGGTTCCAACCTAAAATATATAGAGAAAAGTGGAAACAAGATAAGGAAAAATAAAGTGCCACCATTAGAACTACTGGTCCCATACCCAGAATGTTTGTTGATATAATTGATATTTAACTCAACAAAATGCCAGTCTTATTCGTTAGCAGCTTGTTTCAAATTACAACTAAAGCAAACAAGCCCTAATCCCAATCTAACTGGATGGAGTTATATGAATGATGAATCTCTTCCTCAACTTATGCTGTTTAAGACCATGCTCCTTGTAAGTGATAGGCACCAAGTCACTATAACTATTCTTCCATGTCATATCTGTGACATAGGTCCTAGCTTCTTGGTACTTTTAGCGGGAGCTTCAGAGAGTTTAGTCACTCAGAAGCAATGCTAAGAAATTACAGTTGTCATTATGAAACTTAAGCAACCATAGTTTGAAACTATAAAAAGATAACATGATAAGCACATGTTCCACAGTAGCAAACAAGAACATAACTAGTTGGATTTGTGACCAATCTGAATTTTTCATCATCCCCTCTATCCAGTGTCATATACCACATGAGATGCTTTATTGGAAACTGGTGCATGACTTTAGTAAGCGCCATTAAAATACACAATAGAACATCTTAACAGAGGAAAGCATTAAGATAAAATCAGGCAATCACTTACAGAAAAAGTAGGATTATGAAAATCATCCTTAAAAATAGTCTCAAGATCACGAAGTATTCGATGTTCAGGTGTATCATAGCGACCATCGCAGAGATCAATACCTCCAACAAATGCAGTTATCTTTCGATTATTGCCAGCTGCCTGTGTGTCAACAAGAACACATTTTTGATGATGCGTAAACATGGTTCCAACAACCTGATCAAAATCATTGCAGAAGCAACCTCAGTAAAGTATTTTAGTTGAAAAAAGAAAAGCTGACAATTTTCAAAATCAAATAAAATTTGTCAAATCTATAAAATAGTTTGATGAAAAAATCTACTAAGCAAAACCAGACATAGCATGTTAAATACATTCACCCGGCTTAATCAGCAAAAATTAAGTACGTGCGATCCCATCAGAAGTCATCAACCTTCAAACAACACTATTACATTGCTTTTGTCAAAGATCCAGATGCCTGAATATGAAAGATTGAGTTCTTCAAGGTAACAGGGCTCTAACTTTCACATACAGCAAATAAGAAAACAACACAATCTAAAACATCCTTATGAAGCGCATTAAGTAAATGCTAGCACAGGCTGGTGGGTGAAAAGTTAACAAAGAAACCACATTTACTTAACTGGATTGGGCAAGTGAAAAATCAACATGATCAAAGAGCACTAATGACACATAATTAGAAACACATTATGTTAGCTACTTGCACACAAAGATAAACAAGTTAACTCATTACAGACAACAATACAATTTTTTTTGGGCCAGGAACAGTGAACAATACTTCACAAGAAAAAAACCTTGCCTGTTGTTTGAAATAACCAAGCTTACTGCTAGCATAGCGTGAAGCCAGTACACAAGTAACAGACGAATGCTTAAAAAACTTGAACGTTTCTTCATCGTGCGTCTGCATCACTCCCGCCTGCAGCACCCATTAACACTCACATTACAATCTCATAATTCGAATAATCATTTGATAAAACAACACAAAATTTGCTGGAACTTCTTTACCGTACTGATACCAAATTTATCATGAGAAGTTTTATCATCCCAAACCAACAACAGAACTCTAACTCCTTCTTCAGATTTATACTTAAGCAATTCACCAAGAGTTAAATCCCCGCCTCGCGGCAATGGCCGACTAGGCTCTCTAACAAGCTTAACCTTATGGAAAACGGACCAACCAACAATGTAAATCAAATGATGAGCCTCAGATATAGCATAACAAATATCCTCCCAACACTTTGCTTGGTTATAAATTTTACCGCCGTCTAATTCTATTTTAGGCAAGATATTCTCCGGCACGTGAGCATCTTGGTAAAGGGTCACCTGGCTCCCCTTCCTTAACGGGAAATACGTGTGCCTAACGCCGGCTTGTTCCGGATCGCTAGCGATGCTCTGCTTATACAACGGGTTTTTCTCGCAGGGCGTGAAATTCATATCCAGGTGGATCGCCGTGTCGGGCTTCGGAAGCTTTCCCGAGGGGCCAATGAGCGGGAACCAGCCGGTGATACGCTCCCCCGTAGCGATTTTTGAAGCAGGGATTTTAGCAGTGCCGATTACTTCAGCGCCAAAGAGGTCATTGTCTTTGACGTTAATTTCGAGCTCAGTGACGGGATGAGCCAAGGGGATGATGAACCTCTCGTTCCAGTTGGGGTTCTGGGCGTTCTTCAAAACGCGTGTGCGAGCCAAGGTGGCTTGGGGGACTGAAACGGTGACGTAAGGGTCGCTGGTGATAATTTTAGGGTGCTGGCGGACTTTAGTGTCCCCTTCTTCTTTAGCGGTTGAGTGTGATGGGGTTTTGCAAGTCTCACAGGTTAGGCAACTCCTAAGATGAGTGGACAGCAAATCCATGTTGGGCAATCTCTTGGCTTCAACAATGGTTAAATCTAAGTCACCGTGAAGGTAAGCCAGCTGCTTCGGTCCTTCCTCCTCCATTTTCACAGTACAAAAATTGCAGAAAATTGACAGAAACAAAAACAAGAGGAAGTGCTTATGTTTTGGGTTTGGAGGTGGGGATTAGGTTGAGAAAGTGTCTCTATTTTGGGTTTGGTGGTGGGGATTTGGTTTTGTAAGCAAAGCTAAAAATTTGTTGCTGTTTATCCGATAAAAAGTGGGTGGGGACGTGGATTTTGCCGAGATGGATTTGGAAAGGTGGCGGTGAAAATGGGAGAGAGAGAGAGAGAGAGAGAGAGCGCAATCTTATTATGAATACATATATATATATATATATATATATATATATGAAAATGGCTGCCGCAGTGGCTGATGCAATCGCGTATCGGCAGTTACAGATGTATTATCTTCTTATTTTTAAGGTAAATGATCATGCAGTTGGCTGATGATATTCACACAGATTTTGAATTTAAATTTAGGCATGTAACTCGAAAATGAAATAGATATTACCAAAATGAAAAACCTTAATAAAGAAAGTAATTATAAGATTGAAATTACAATTGTTGAATTATTCAACGTGGTATTAAAAATTATATGATATTTAAATTTTAAATAATATTAATTATATGATATTAAATAAATTATTTATATATTTTGTATTAATATTTAAAATTAATCACATTAAATTTAATGTCAAATAATTAATAAATTTATAAATGATTTATCACATTAAAATTTTTTAAATTTAAATATTATATTAAAGTTTTACTTTATTTTAAAAGTAAGTTATAACAAAAAAATTATCATATATATTATCAATGTAAATTTTTTAATTTTAAAAATAAAATTAATAAAATAATATATATTTTTTAAAATATGTTTAAAATAATTAAAAACAATATTAATTTCATTTATGAAATTACATAATATATTAATAATTTCTCCTCGTAAAACTAACCCCAAAAAAAAAAAAAGATTGTGCTCAAGGCCTGATGTGATTGGTTACCTTTTTTATGTTTTATTTTACTTTTAACCTTCTTTTCTAGGCGAGGGGAAAAAAGAAGGTGAAAGAGGCCGATCCAAAAAGTCCAAACAAGAAAAGATTGCAAATGGAATCTAGATAGACAAGTTTGAGGTGTTCTTCCAGTGGACCATAGCCAGCGTGTAAATTTAATGAGTAATGATAAAGATAGATACCCACCGCCAATCCATCGCTCAAAATATCCCATCTGTCGGGTCTCACTTACTCCCGCAGGCCACTGCCCACATTATTACTAATTACAATAGCCAATCACTTCTCAAAGAGTAGTAATTACGACACGACTTTATTCAAGTGGAATTCTCAACAATCAAAGCACAGCTGTTTTTGATAAAATTTGTTTCAGCGGCTGCTTCACTTCACATCCTTCGATTCTACATTTTCTTGGAAGAAAATGGGAAAAAAAGGTATATGAAATAAATAGAGTATGATCAAATGTGGTGTGGTGAGCCTTCATTAATTTACAGAAGACAAGGTTCTTGTCTTTCCATAAACGAACTTGTTCAACAACTTCCTTCCGTCACCAACAACCTTCTCTTGTTTTTCACTTCTACTTCTCCAAATACGAAAAGGATTACTCATGTAACCTGGTCCCAAGTGAGTGCCGCACTTGCACCATTAATAGCCCTCATTAGCAGAATTGCTTCATTTGGCCCTGGAAAGGCACTCTTTCAGCAAATTTCTGGCACCAGAATTCATCAGATTTTTCACTACGTTTTGTCCCTCTCAATATCTTCACCATTACTGAAAGTAAATGGTTCATATTCGCTTCTTTTGAAAATAAAAATGGCAAGGGATGCTTCCGGTAGAGGAGATGCTTGCCAAAATTGCCCATGGTTTTCGTTTTCTTTGCTATTGATTTGTGCATATGCATGGAACTTTTGGGTGAAGGTTTGGTTCACGTGCATCGAAGCTTCTACTTTCGGATTTCCTCTGATCTTCTTGGCATACGATTGGAAACTAAAGATTCTTTCCCAACTTGCATGAGCATTAGGCTTATTTTGGGAGGTGACTTTCTGACAGGGATGGTGCTTTAAGCAGAGGCCACAATCTTGTTCTCGATTACAACTAAAATTCGTAAAATATACATTGACCTTGTATGCGAGAGGGCAATAGGAGCATTTTGAAATGCATAGACTTCCTTCGAGCCTCCTTCGGAATCAAGGATACCATCGGACTTGATGATCCTTTACCCACAGGGCTGATTGGTGAGCTTACTTCGGAAGTGACAGCTGATGCAGCTTTTGCCAGAGAGGCCAGGACATTCTTGTTCCTCCGTTCACGACATTCTTGTTCCTCCGTTCACCAGTTTCTCCACCCGAGATCAGACTATCTAGCGAAGCAAGAACAGATAAAATAAATAAATAAATAAAACACATGTATATTAACCTTGTCGTACAAAATCGAAATTATATATGCACGGCCTTGTCGGTAGAAATGGTCAGAATGAATAACTGATGCCTCAAAGCAACTTCGTTGCCGGCCAGAACTTAGCCTGTCGGAATTTTCTGGAGGCTAAAAAAAGAAAACCTGCTGAAGTTTAATATTTTAGTTAGATAAATCTATATATTTTATTATATCCAAATAAATCTTTAATTTTAATTTATGTCTGAATAAACATTTAACTTTTAATTAATACCTAAATTATCCTTTAATATAAATAAAAAAAATTATTTGAAATAAAAACGTTTTAGATATGAATAAAACATAAAATTTTATTTAAATAAATAAAATTATAAAATGTTTAATTAAAAAATAAAATAATTTAATAACTTTTTTATGTTTTAACCTTTTTTGAATGATGTAAATTACCGTATTAACAAACTTATGTTAAACCGAATGATGATAAATTCAGTTTTTTTTAAACAAAATCTCAATTTTAAATCTTGTGAATAAAAAAATAAACTTAAAAAAAATTTGACCCTCTCATAAAATCCAATCTGACCCAACTCTGAACTAATCAAAACCTAAAATAACTATCAAACATTGAAAGATCTCAAAAAAAAAAAAAAAATTTACGTATTGAAATGCAATTATGCAAATAACAATTAAAGATGCTTGGAAGTTGAAATGAATGTCAACTTTATTAATTCAATACAACAATTCAGTGCTACTACAAGCAACAATTTAACCAGAAAAAGCTCGAGAAAAGATTAACGTTCTGTCTTTCTACTAAAAGATACACCATAAGCGAATTTTGTTTCACAAACTCAGCCATTCCATGTGAACAACGGGAAATGGTTTATATCCCTATTAGCAATCCAGTAGTCTAACAAACTTTATGGGCAACAAAAATCTTATAAAAGATTACCCCATACAGGAATTTTTAACAAGAAAAGATAACCAATAAAAAAAAAGGAGCTATCCCAACTACAAGCATTTTTGCCTCATTCCACCCGCAGAATGTTGAAGACCCAACAGGCCAGCAACCTCGTTGGAACTGCAAACTAAACAAAAACTGAGGCCAAGTCAGACATGCGTCCATCATTCACTTGTATCATTACATGCTGAAACCTAAGAATGAATAGAATACTTAGAAATTACATTACAATAAACCTTCTGATCATTTAATTGAAGACGTGGTACATGAATACCCAAACCATGTTTGGTGATAATTCAATATTGCTCATTTAAGGAAAAGGTTCATAGTTACCCTCCCAAAATTTTTAAAAGCCTTAGAAATTAGAAGAGCAGCCTAATGGAAATTGTTATCATGGAAGGGTCAGTTTACTGCAATTTCAAAATTGCAAATTAAGAGTTTAAGATTAAATCAACCTTGGCTTCCTCTCAAGCTTTTCAGAAAATGGCATGCCTTAACGTTTACTCCTGTCATCTTTACTGCTTCTCTCATCTTTAGTCACCAGATCATCCTTGTTGCTTGGAGTGTACTGACTAGTTGATGATGGAGAATATCCTGGTACACTAGGAGAGTACCCAGCACTTGGACTGCACAGAACATTGGACATATAAAACAACAAAAGAGAGCAAATTTTAAATTCAACACTCGAGTCTGCTTACCTGTACTGTGGCGAACTTGGGCTGTAGTCCGGACTCACTCCAGAATTATATGGGCTGGTTTTGCAGAAATAAAACAAAAAACAGATTATCAAAAGGCATTTAGAACAAATTTGGCATTAGAAAAATCAGTAATAACCATTTGCTTCAGTATGAAAATATAACGAGTGGCAGCTTTAAGACACATCTCACTGACAACATCCTAGATTAACCTATTCAGTTACATAGCAAAATATGAAAAGTTACCTGCTAGGACTGTATGTTGGACTCGAAGGGGAATAAGTAGAAGAAGTTGGTGAATATGATGGTGATGTCGGGCTACAATTCAAAAAAAAAAAAATTAATTCCATCATAAACAAAGTTACAAGCACATTACATAGCATGAATATAAATTCATTAAAACCAAGGAGAATAGGGAATAAACTAAAATAACTGTAACACCACCCAATAGTCATCAGCAACAAACAAAAAAGCGATTTAGTCTACCATGGCCTACCTATAATTTGGTGATGTTGGACTGTAAGGACTGGAAGGAGACAACCTTGGACTGCTTGGTGAGTATGCCAGAGATGGACTGTACTTGGCTGACTGTGGGTTATAACTTGGAGAGGTAGGGCTATAGCTTGGTGATGTGGGACTGTAACTTGGTGAGGTTGGACTATAGCCAGGAAGTGGGGCTATAAGCTGGTGAAGTAGGGCTGTATGAGGGAGACGTAGGGCTATAGGAGGGTGAGGTTGGGCTGTAGGAAGGAGATGTCGGGCTGTATGACGGGGATGTTGGGCTGTATGATGGAGAAGTTGGGCTATATGCTGGTGATGTTGAGCTATATACAGGTGAAGTGGGGCTGTAGCTAGGTGAAGTTGGACTCTAGCTGGGAGATGTGGGACTATAACTTGGAGAAGTGGGGCTGTAACTTGGGGAGGTAGGGCTGTAACTTGGAGAGGTAGGGCTATAGCTCGGTGACGTTGGAGAATAAGAGGGACTTGTAGGAGAATAGGCTGGACTTGTCGGACTATAACCTGGTGAACTAGGACTGTAAGTAGGTGATGTGGGGCTGTAACCAGGAGAGGTGGGACTATACCCAGGGGATGTAGGACTGTAACCAGGAGAGGTAGGACTGTAACCGGAAGATGAAGGACTATATCCAGGAGATGACGGACTGTAACCAGGGGATGACGCAGGAGAGAATGCCATCCCGCCAACATAAGGTGAGAACTGAGAATCTGTAATGGGTGAGAGACCG